GTGAGCTGTCAAAATAAAGAAGCTCAACAGTTGGCTGCTAAAAGGAGAAAATATTGCTACATACTACTAGTCAGAATTCTTATTAAAACATACTGACTTTTTAAACTAATGCTCATAAAAACTTTGAAATTTACCACCATAGCTACCTACATGTATTATTTCAAAGTCCATGGAAAACCCATTTTTAGATTTGTTCTGTTGTAGAATCAACCCTACGAAAACAAAGTTTACACTCCCCTGATACTGCAAGGTAAGAAATAAAGTGGAAATACAGAAATCTGGAATTTAAATCACACATTTGTTAACACCACCCTATGCACAGGCTATTTTTCCACTCTGCTCAGCACCTTTACTTCCAAACCCTTCAGAAACATCCCTTGAAAAGGCTTTTTACTGGTGGGCTGAATGAATCATCATTTAAAATTGTACCATCCTGACACCTCCAATGCTTTTTTTTTTTTTCCTTTTTTCTGCATCTTATGTTCTTACTACGCAAGCCTTTCTGTGTGTTACTTACCACTAATAACAAGTAACCTCATAACCTAGTTGAGCAAAAGACTGTCTGAACACATTATTATTTAACAGATTGCTTTATGAATCACTAGGACTAGGTCCTATCAAACAATGCAAGAAGTGCCTAATGCAAAATCTGTGAGGAGCCAATCAAAGCATTAATGAAAACCACAGGAGCATCAGGCCCGCTGCAGAACCCACACGGCAGCAGCTCCAACGCTTCACGACGCGTTTGGTCACTGTGGCTGCACGACGCACGCAGCAGCCCTGCCCCTCGGCATCGGCTCTTGTGGAACAGACATCTCACCAGGTAAAAGGCTGTAGGTTATGCAGGAAGGGTCTAAATCCCGCGATGCATTCAAACACCATCGTTCCGAAGCTCCAGTAATCGACTGTAACAGAGTAGGATTTGTTCTCAAAGAGTTCTGGAGCCTAAAAAGTACCATGAAGAGAAGACATTTTCAATGTGGTGTTCTCCACACTCCAACTCCCTCACTTTTGCAGAGGCAACGCTGCGTCCACGTTTGGGCTCCTAGCTGTGGAGGGATGCGGATACCTGCTCGAGGCCCCAGGCAGGGCCTGGAGGACCTGACCTAAAAGGAGACTGGAGGACACAGGGTTGGAGTCCCATCATGGGGAGGAAAGGCAGCTGTGTGAGCAGCCCCTAGTTGTGGGAGAGACGGGAAACAAAAATCTTACCAAATATTGTAATGTTCCAACAAATGACGTGCATAAACTTCCTTGATCCAGATCCTTGGCATATCCCAGGTCTATAATCTTGTGGACAACCTGTAAACAGTGCGAGCAATTTGCCACAAGAGCTAATTCAGAACAAACAACAAGAAAAGCTGTGCAGTGACATCCAGGACATGCATGCGAAAGACGGGAAGGCCAAAGGGGAAGAAGCCCGTAGGGAAGCTCCGCAATGTGCCACGGTGGTGGCGTTGGCTCCTCCACCACGTAAACTGGCTTTGGCCACCTCTCCCTTGACTTTGACATGACTTTAAGCAACTCGCCAATTAAAGTCCTTTATGGCCCAAAGCAAATGGATTCTGCTTGGCTGAATGCAGCATCAAGCTTTTCATCTTGGAATTTAAAGTTATTTGTTATTGACTTTTTTTTTTTTTTTAAGAAATCTAGGACTACACAGACAGGTTCAGTTTTACATGCAACCCTCATAAAGCCACAAACACAGAGATGCCCCACACTGCAATTTCTTATCATTTCTATCCTGCCGCAGGCAGGGTTGGCTCCTGATTGCAAGCAAGAGTTGGTTGTTTTTAATGAGAAGATTTTAAGAATAAGCAAAATAGGCTATGGTGTTTCAAGAAGATGGGAATTTTTAACAAAGGTTTATTTAATTTTATTTAATTATTTAATAAATTATTTTATTTTATTGTAATTTAATAATTAGGTTTTCTCAACCTAATTCAATGTCATAAGCCATTTGCCCTCTTCTGTTTCTCTCGGGCAAGAAAAAACTACTTCTAGCTTCCAGAAATGCCAGCCGAAACACCAGCGACCAAGACTTACCTTCCCCCCTTCATCCTGAAGAACAATATTTTCAGGCTTTAAATCTCTGTGGATAATTCTGTTTTCATGCAAATACTGAATACCAGACCCTGAAAGGCAAGTATTTAAGAGACAAAAAAAAAAGGGAAGAACAATTGTTAAAAAAAAAATCCAATAGAAGTTTAGCCAGCATGATATTCAGCAATAAATCTTCCCTTAAAAAAAAAAAACAGCATTAAACATATTAATGACTTTAACTGTCACATTTAAGCATATGGCTACAGGGTTAAACCAGCTCTGAGGAAGTCAGATTGCCTAAGGAATTCAGACCTTGTGGCATAAACACTGGTCAAACATCCTGCCTTAAAGGCAAAAGGGAGCTGAATCCTTCTCAGACTTTAATGTGACTGCACATTCATGGGGACTGTGTTGTCCTGGCAGTGACCCGGCTGAAACCTGCTCACGAAAGATCAAGTTTTACTCAGGCTGGTTTCCAGATCCAACTCCTGACATGGTTATGGGGGTGCTGGATTAAGGGCAGAAATGAGGGCAAGTGCCCAAGTGGGGAGGGAAGCACTTGTGGCAGCAGCCCACGTTTAAACTGCTTTAATGTGACGGCGGAGCTACTAGCAAAGAGAAGACTCGAGGGAAATTCTGCCTGAAGGTGGTGGTGGAAATATGGTGAGTCCATTCAAACAACAGTGCTGACTGCTACTAAATGATTGTGGAGTGAGCATCCGTCACAGGACAAGGTGACCGACAAAACAGTCAAAAGGATTTCCTTAAAATGGGGACTTTCTTTGAAGTCATGGTTTTTCCATCTTGGAGAGGCGCAAGTGGAAAGAGAAGGTGTAAATCGCACTGCTTTTCCTATCTACATTATGGGGTATTTTAATTTTTCCTATGCAGAAAAAAATAGTCTGTGCAACATGTTGAAATCACCGAGAGTTGGAAGCTGATGAAGCCCTGCAGAAGCTACAAAGATGTATCCAGACATGTTAGTTCATACCCAGAATTTGGGCAGGAATGAAACTCTGGATGACCTGTCACTGACCACCAATGCTAAACAAGTGCCCTGGGGAGCTCATGGCAGCAGTGCAAGGAAGGCAAACGGCCCTAGAAAAAACAACAATCAAGTTCATTTTTCTCTGGGAATTCATGTGTCCTGCCCTTTTAAGGGTCTACAACGACCCAGAAGAGACTCAGGACTAAGTCATCATCTCCAGACAAGGCATCCTCCTTCTGCTCAGAAAAAAAATCACTTTGGGTAAAGATGATCCTCTCTCCTCTTCTCCATCTTCTGAGACAGAGCAAAGCACCCCTTAAGAGTCCTGCCTAAAAGCTCAGGGCAACTTCTTCATCCAAACACTTCTTAATTCTAAAAGCAGGGATCCTTTCTTACAAGCAGACTGGTCATCTACAACAGAACCGAAAACATGAGCAGATCTCCTGCTACAAAAAACTCCAGGGAATTCATGCGTAGGTTGCAGCCTGGATCGGATGATGCGACCTTCCTCGGCTGCCCAAGCAGCCGGGCACCTTTCCTGATGGACAGCAAGGCTGGTCTGAGGAATCTCTATCACACCTTTCCTTTAAGCAAGGCAGCAAGTCAGTGCTAGGTAAGCAGTGGCCCACACAGAGATCAGCAGCTTTTTACCTCCCCTTCCCAGGGTCACAGCCTGTTCTTCAGCCCCCTTCTGCCTGCCCTTAACCAGACTCAAGAAGTCCAGCTAGGTTTTCAAATCATGCTCCATAGACAGTTCAGTAGTGAACATTTCTTGTCTTTATGATCAGCAGGGACACAAAGTCCTTCCTCTGAAACAGCAGCCTGATGTGTTTCAGCAGCCTGTTTCTGCTATCCAGTTAAAACAGGAAAATGCAATTACACATAATAAACATGAAAAAAAATGGCAACACGCTACGTACCAATGTCATTAAGAAGAGAAAGAATTTGACTCTCCTTAAGTCCGCAGCAGTTTTCAGGTTTGTTCAGCAACTGCAGAAAAGAAAACCAGGTTACACCTGCCAGGCAACAACGAGGAGGCAAGACACCATCTTCCATTCTTGCAAACACCGAGCTGAAAAACAGCACAGCTCAAATAAAACCACAGCTGAAGGAGGCAGTTGTAAATTAAAAGCACAGGGACAAAAAAAAAAAAAAGACAATTCGGATTAAAAAGAAATCATTGCACAATGGGCAAGGTTGAAAATCAGATCTGGACTCTCCGAGTGTGACCACAGAAGCAGGAAAACCATTAGAAAGTGAAAGGGAAAGGAGACCCATGTCGGGCCTGTGGCTTCAGAGAACTGGGGACAAGCTTCCTGGAATGCGCTTGTTCCTCATTGTCTGAATTCTGGCCTGATGGGATCTAGGAATGCCCTGAATAGCTGAAGCAGGAAGAACAACAGCTCTCCATTGGGGAAAATAAGACTGAGTGACAAAAAGCAGAAGGAATAAACATAGACCTAAGCCCCAGGCATTGAGGAATTGATTGGAAAAAAGAAGGGGGAAATCAACAGGTAAACTCCAAACTTTAGCATAGGCCACAGCACATGCCACCTACTCCAAGACAGGTACCTTAAAACAGGAGAGGAAACGTAATAACCCCCAAAGTCATTGGACTTTTTTCCTTCACAGCTATGTGGAGAGCTTCCAGAGATGTCAGATTTCAAGGGCTTATCAGAAATTAAATAGTCAATTACTGTGCAGAAAGCAGAGCTGATGCAACCCCAAATTTCTTGCCCACCGCTTCACAGCTTTCCTGGGAGTTTTCTCAGAATTTGCATCGCATAAATGCCCAGGCATCACTGAGAATGTGGCCTGCTATCTGTGTTGGCAACATCCAAGCGACATTTGGCTTCCTTTTGCTGCCATCCTTTCAGTCCTAAAGGCTGCCCCAACTGTTTTGAACAACACCAGAAAACAAAACAAACCTAAATAAGTCACAAATGTGTTGTTATTGCATTTATCACCCTCTCTTGTTAACTTTTTGTTTTTCTACAGCTCCTTGCAGTCCATGACTTGTTTCTCCAAGCTGTCTGCTATTTAACACTGGTAAAAACAAACGAAACCGGAAAAGAGCTACCCAAATGCTTAAGAGGAGGCGATTTCTGAGCAAGCTTTAATCAATGGAAATCTGCTACTTCATCCTACAGAAAAAAAAAAAAAAAAAAAAAAAAGTTGTTTCCAGAATCCAGCTGCAATGGAAAGGGAGTAGAGAAACTACCTGGCCACAGAGCCGGTGCTCGAAAAACTCATTTACTCTTGAGTGCTGCTGTTGCTTTGCAGAGAGGCAGCTCCCAGTTTAGAAGTGGAAAAATCTTGGAAGTTTTGGTGGCCCCCGCTGAGGTGGCACCCAGACTCTCCTTTCCTGGCAGCCCAAAGCAACGAAACACTGGGCATGTGGATGAAAAAGCAGTCAGACTCTGAGCACATCCAGGCACACAGCCGCAAACACAGGCACAGTGTGGGGGTGCTGCCACTCAGGCTACAGGAGACGGCGTTAACGCTGGCACGGTCCTACGAAAGGAGACACTGCTCCAGCATAAAACACCATCTGCCCTTGGATTACTGCCTCTGCCACCTGGTTTCGTAGCACAAGCCTCACTCCGCACTCGGGTAGCGGGTTTTTGTGAAGCATGTAATGGATACAGTGTAGTGGGTTTTTCTGAACCACATAACGGATATGGTTTCATGGACAACCGATGTTAGGAAAAGAGAGTTAGGAAAGTCGGCCCCTTTGCAAGGCAAAGCTGAGCCTACCTTGCGGAGATCCCCCCCCGAGCAATACTCCATTGCCAGCAGAGGAACGTCGTTCACAAGGAAGTTCATCTCCTCGGGAACTTCACAGGCTCTTACTACGTTGGGATGGTTCAACCTAGGCACACGGAGAGTGTGATGAGAAGTCCAAGCCCCCTTTTAGTAGAGCAAGACAAGGCTCCCGACCACACTTTATGTTTCAGGTAACAGCACTGTTCCCCAAATTCATTGATACCTACCAGTATCGAAACAGATAAAATCCATACCTTGCACATACACCAACCTGCAGCAAGCAGACATGTGGTCTCCAAGCGGAGACAGAAGACTTGCATGATGCAGATGCAAGCTCTGGTTCTTGATTTCTGCATGCCCTTGGCCCAGTCATTCCATACGTGTTTTTATTTCTGCATGTGAGGGTCAGTTCCCCTTTAGTCCAGAAGGTTTCTAAGAATATATTTACTCTGGGGGACTGTACCAGGTGTGTAGAACGCCACGAAAAAATCATTTATGCAATTGAGTTCAAAAACCTGATTCCTGTCTGTCTCAAAATATGCTATTTGCAAGAATAAATCGTGTGTTTAGAAGGAAGTGAAGATGAATTACTCCCATGCACACAGTACGTAGCCTGTGAGAGGCATCACAAAAGCAGCTGTAGATGTACAAATGGGTGCCTGAACGTGTTTTTGCACTGAAAACCGATAGGAAAAGCAATCGCCCTATGCTGTATTATAAGCTCAGCTCTAACGCAGGGCCCGCGAGCGGTTCCCCTGCTCACGATCACACAGCGTGCACGCATATGAGCGGGTTGAGGAGACAAGAGACAGCACGAGCTCAGCGAAGCTCCCACAGCTCTTCCCCTCAAGAGGAAACACTTCTCCGGACGAGGGAACAACTCCATGAAATGCCCCTGACGCCCCGAGAAACAACCGAGCGACTCTGTGCACGGGTGGATTTCACCGGCTCCGCGGGTGACTCAGAGGGACAGGCCGGAGAGGGACGGGGGCTGCCTGGGGCCAACGGCGCCTCGTTCGCGAGGGGGGAACGTCGCAGACAAGGGTCA